CTGGGTGCACAAAGCTAGGCTGATGGTTCTCTTCCCCTCTTTTTACCATTAGTGTTCTAGAGGTTCAAGGGTTGGTTTATTTTTATTAATCTTGCTTGGTACTCACTGTTCTTCCTGGCACCCATGGTTTGGTGTCTTTTATCACTTCTGGAAATTTTTCAGACATTGTCTCCCCACCTGTGGCTTCTCTGCTACCTTGCCTTTTCTCTCCTTCTAGGAGACATTAGACTTCCTCCATACAGCTGCTATGTCTCTCGACCTCCTTTCCTAAGTTTTCAGCCCCCTCTCTTTCTTTCCTGAATTTGGGGTAATTTCTTTACATCTATTTTCCAGTTCACTAATCCCCTTTTCAACTGTGTCTAACCTGCTCTGTGATCCAGCCACTAAGGTTTTGTATCAACAGTTATATTTTTTATTTCTTAAGGTTCTGTTTGGTTCTTTTTCCAAATCTGCTTGGTCATTTTTTTATAGGCTCATGTTTGTGGCTCATTTTTTTTATTCTAAATTTTAGTTTATTAAACATCTCATACATTTCTTTTTTTTTTTTTTCTGTGATAGTAATTCCAATATCTGATGCTCTTGGGATGTAAGTTTTTTCTTTCTGCTAACTCTTAGTCCATAGTGAGTTGTTTACTTGTGTATTTGGTGATCTTTACTTGGGAACTAATGTCTGTTTGGTCTTAGTCCATGAAAACTCTTGGAAAAAGTCATCATGCTCTTCTCAAGAGAACGTTCATATTTGTTTCTCCCAGGAGTCAAGAGGCAGCAGCAACTTGGGATCACCCTAACCTCTGATTTGCCCCCTGTTCTCACCACAGCAATGCTGACTTTGACATCTGCCCTCAGGACGGGCTCCATTGGTCCCACTTCAGCTCGGTCTGGGGGCCAGGGAACTCAGGGGCTTTCCTACTATCTAAAAAATCATACTTTACCTCAAATCTTCTTGTGCACAGTGAGGGTGTCCTCAGAAGAGTCAGAGAACCACACTGCAGAACCAGGATGCTTATCCACATTTTTTTTTAAAGATTACACTTGCTGCTCCATGGAGAATGGATTACAGGGGGCAGAGGGGATACTGGGGAAACGGTGAGGGGTAACTGTCAGGTTTTCAGGTGAGAAAGCATAGTGGCTTGACCCAGAGTGGTGGCAGTGAGAACAGAGGGTGGGAATCAAAGTTAGTGGAGTATCTGCTTATTAACTTGTGTCCCTTGTTTATTTACAGGCACAGAAATGTGTGATTAGCCACAAATGTTCATTAACTTGTAATTTGTCTTCCACTGTTCATATGCGAGATAGCAGAAAGTGAAAATTTTGATCATATCCAGTGTAGCCAAATTCTCTCTATACCATTGATGGAGAGTAAATTGAAATCGCATTTTTGGAGGACAGTTTGGTCCAATCTAGCAGAATAGTAAATGTGCAATTTCTTTGTTAGGAATTTCTCCAAAGGACACGTGCAAAATGTGCACCAAAATACATTAAAACATTAAAAGGATGTCCAACATACTGTCGTATGTAATAATAGCAACAGACAGACAAACTGACCAAAAAAACAGACCACAATCTAAATGACCATCTGCAGAGGACTGGCTAGTTAACTCAAGATTCATCTATAAAATGGAATACTCTCTTACCTTTCCACAAAGGGATACGTCTACAGTGGAAAGATATCCCTGATAATTTAAGTGTAAAAAGCAAAATGCAGAACGATGTGTATAGAAAGATTGCATTCATAAAAAAATTTTAATAGCCAAATAAAAAACATATACATTTATATGCAGAGATCAGCATGAAACCATTTTCTGGGAGAATGCACAAGAAACTTAAAATGATTCACGTTGGAGAAAGCAACCGGGGCTTCAGGGTAGAAAGCAACTTTCGCTTTTCATTTTATACCTTTTTATACATTTTGAAAATTCCACTGCAAGCCACGTATTGCTTTTGTTTGAAGAGTTTAGCCTGTTTTTATTGGACTCTTCTTGATGAGGGAACCTGCTTCCCCGGGTTATTACATCTCCTGCTTGTGGCACTTCATTATCTCCTCCAGTTCCTCCCTTGAAAACTGTGAATATGCCTTAGTCCCTCCAGTCCTAAAAAGCCAACCTTCCTCAAAGATTTCTAAAATCTATTATGAAGTTAAAAATATAGGTTTCAAATAATATGCATAAAATGGTCCCATTTTTGTAAACAATAATGGAATAAATGCATGTATCTGTGTATAAAAGAAAAAAAGTCTAGAAAGATTTATCCATTCATTCAGCAGAAACGTATTGTGTGCCTGCCATGGGCCAGGCATTGTTATAGAGACGGAAGTTCAAAAGGCACCAGAGTCCCTGCGCTCTGCCTCTCCCTGCATCCCAGCCTCTAGAATCTAAAGGGTAATGTGTACCAGCAGGTTAATGCCAATGCACTGTGGGTGAGGTGATTGTGAGTGAGCTTTTATATCACCTTCATGCTTTCCTGTATCTTCTGATTCATTTTTTTCTTGCCCTGTGTATGGCATAAAAGATCTTATATAAAAATAATAATTAATCATAAAACACAATCTCTCTATCCCTCTGGTTTTGTCTCTCTCTCCTCCAAACGCCTACACTCATCCGTGCGATATTTGAGATACACTGACACTAGAAGATGTTGCGTTATGTATCTGGAAATCAAATTGAAGTGTGCATCTTGTGTTTTATCTGCAACCCCACTTTTGAACAACCTGCTCCCAGCACTTCTGCTCCCCTCTGAGTGGCCCTCCTTGGGCCCCACCTGGCCCTTCCCTTGGGATGCTGCCCCTGGCCGACTTGCACTCTCGCCCCCATGTGTGCACCGCGGACAGGTGGGTGTCCCCAGTGAGCCCTCCATGAGGGCTGCCTCCTCCTGGATGCCCCATCATCTCCTCAAACAGCACAGCCCAGAAACAGAGCTCCCCAGTTCTCAATCTCAGGAGCGGCCCCACCATCCCCTCTCGGCTCCAGGCTCAGAACCCACATACCCACAGCACCTCTCCTCCCTGCCCTCACCCCACATCTCAGCAGCGCCAGCCCCTCCACACCACCCGCCCAGCCTCGCCTCCGTGCCTGGGATTTGAGGTTGTCTCTCACGGGTTCAAGCCCTTCCTTCCCCCCCCCCCCCCCCCCACCCCTCCACACGCACACAGTAGATCATCCTTAACACGAGCCAGGAGGCCTTCGAGCCCTGGCCCCCGCCTGCCTGTCACCATACGCCACCACAGCAATTTGGCCACATCTGACCGCTACTGTCCTGTAATTGGGTCGCCGTTTCTCTCTAAAGCAAGTAACTCATTTTCACTTATTTTAAAAAAACAACCTAACCCTGTATGCGTTAGCCTCGTGCTAACAAAATCCCAGGCCCGATGTGTCAGTTATCGAACCGAATCAAAATGGACATGTCACTAATCAGATGTAAGCTGTCCATCGTGCTCCCCCCCCCCCGGATCCTGGCCAGTGTCCCCCAGGTAGGCACCGCACCCTTGGAAAGCCCTGCCTTTCAGAACGCCCACCTGCTCTCAGCCTCCCGCGTGGCTCCCTCTGTTTGGGGAACACTCCAGACCCCCCCGAAGTCGCTCCCGCAGCTGCCTGCCTCCCCCCTCACGCTGTGCCCGCCCCTCCTGGGGACTAATTGCATCTCCCTCAGACTGCCTGCTACTTCACACCTCCCTGCTACCTTCACAGCCTCTGCCCGAGTGCCCATTAGGGCTCGCGTCCACCTGTTAAGCAGCTCCTCACCCTGCAAGGCTCTCAAGGCGCATGGAGGCGGTGAGGCCCCTCCTGGAGGCCCCTCCTTGTATCTCCCATCAGCAAAGGGGATCAGCATTGGGCAGAACATCTCCAAGGTTCTATTGATTGCCCTGGCTCGGAATATCAGACCCTGAGCCATCATAGAAGCATCTTTGCCACCAGGGGAGGGGGGAAGGGGGGGCAGGTACACAGTAGGTGCTCAATAAATGGCGAGCAAGGACCAGGGGCTGTGTGGGGGTGGAAGGAAGCCAGAATGTACAGGTAATGGACCTGGTCTGGAGTTTGGGCCTTTCCACCCACCGACCTGGATGTGACACTCTCAGACTCTCCTTTCCCTGTGCCTCTGTTTCCCCGTCTGTAAGATGGGGCAATGACGGTTCCCACCCCCAAAGGCTTGTTAGCACGACCGAGCGGGGAAGTAAATGCAGGTTTTGCAGACTCTAGAGCTTTACAGAAATGTGGGCTCATCACCGGGACGGTCACAGGACACGGATGACAAATCGGCAGTGGCTGCCCCCTGCGCACCGACTGCGTCCCCGCTGTGAGCCGTGTGTGCCTCCCCGGCGTGAGACTGCCCTGGCCTGGGGGTCGCAGGGGAAGGCAAGAATTACAAGCCTGTTTATTTAACATTTAGGAACCAACGCATTTTCCTGGACCTCGTCTGCAACACTTAAGCCAATATTTGCGTCTTTGGGATTCTATTTGTATGGTAATTTAAAAATAGGGTTCGGCCTTACAGCAGGCCTTTCTCCTGAAACTGAAAGCACATTAATTTTCTAGACGGTAAAATAATGCCATAATTAAATATTACCATTTCTCTTAAAATAAAATCTGGTAACTCCTAACAAAATGGGTTTTTCGAAACATGATGTAGGTTTTCCCACAAAATTGTTCTCTAGGGAAATTCGTTATTTTCAATGTATGGAAGAGACCACGAACTTAATCTCAACGCAATGTAAGAAAAATTGATTTGTGAAATTACAATAATTTTCCTGCATTTAAAATCTCCGCGCTTCCTGTCGCTGCTGACCCAAAGTCCTCCCCTCCCCCATCTGTGTCTTTAAGGGAAAGGCTCAAGGAGCCAGGATGTTTTGTTTCATTGTTTATGAAGCTTCCTAGATGCTCTTTCTTGTGGTTCCCATTGGAGTCTTTGTTCCGCGCTGCAAACTTCTTCGAAAGGAGGCAAGGCTAGGTGACCCCATTACCCATGTCCTTCAGTCTCCAAATACGTACTCTGTGGGAGTAGAAACGATGCCCCGTGGGAGAAAGCATGGGGCCCAGAGCTGGACTTCCATGGGCTCGCTCTTCACCAACGTCAGGGTGGACGGGCGAGGGAGTCTCGGTGGCCCCGGGCTGGAGGCCGACGCTGGAGGAGGTGGTGCCCGGTCTCACACGGGGCGCCCAACCGCCCCAACCAAAGCTCAAGAGGGCCCCCTTGTGGAGACTCCCATGAACAGCCTGGTAAGTGGTGTACTTCCCCCAACGCCCGGGTTGCTCCCCGTGACCCCCCACATCTCCGGGCAGTTCTCAGGCCCAAAGACGCTCAACAGACCAACCTCCGTCGTTCTCTCTTCAAGACCTAACATTTCCGTGGGACAAGAACGTTCTTGGCCCCTCCAGGGAAGAGCTGGTGGAGAACCAGCTCCCAAGGCCCCATGAAGAGCTAAGCTCTTCAACGGTCGGCCCGAAGATCCCTTTTCCTTTGCTTTTTTCCAGTCTTCACCGCGATGACACACACGTCTTCTTTCTTATTGAATGTGTCAAAACCTTGTGATTATCTTACCAAATTCCTGTTCTGTAGAACAATGAAAGCTTCAGTCTTCTGCCAAGAGGGCGAACAAGGGAGACTCCTAAGACACACGTTCTATTGAGCAAATACTGACTTGGAACTATACCCTTATGGCAGGCACCAGGATGATCGGCCTGGGCACATTCAGAAGCCCCAGGGAAGCCCACGCTCCATCCTTCCGAGCCCCCCACGCCTCTCGCCCCCTCCTCAAAGCACGGGTCGGAACTGCTGATATCATTGGACAGCACTGACTGGATTTGGCATAAATTATGAACATCGAGGGGCCAACGTGCAGATCTGGGAACACAGGCGCTACAGTTGAGCTGATGAGGCCTTGTCTCCAAGACACCAGAACATCTGGGTGAAAAGGCAAAAACTTCCATCAATCACCCTAATGCCTTGGCTATTTGGAAACAGCTGGGCTTTGGCTGGGCTTTCCCAGTTTTCATCTGGGTGGAAACCCCAGCCAGAAGGAGGAGTAATTAGCATTATCATGGGGCCGAGGGAGAGTTTTGATGTGAACCGTTTGTGTACTGGAACATTCCTAAACAAACAAACAAAAAACACTGGCTGATGAGCCAGGCCTGGTGGGGCAGACTTATCTCCCAAACCCTCCCCCCCCATTCCTTTCCCACCCCAGGAGCTGTACATTTCCTTTTCCCTCCGCAGGAAATGCTCAACACTGGGGGGGGGGGGGGAATGTCTGCGTGACCAGCCGCTCCCCGTTACAAAATGTTTTCAATTTTGGAAACACAAACATAAAGCAATCACCTCCTCCAGGTAGCACCAAGTGAGGCCCACCTTTTCCACCCACCCCGTCCGTGGTCTGGCCTGACCTGGGACTTTTCATGGAGAACTGGGTAAACAGGGACAAACGAAGCTCTGCCCTTCACTAGCCTTTCAACACACTGACATCTGACTCTGATGCCCTCTTCCTTCCTGCCAGCTGGGAATCTGCTTCTCCAGGCACCCAGTCCCTCCAGAATTCCTCGGGGCGACTTTCCACTCTCCGAGCTCAGCCAGCAAAGGAGGGCATGCTTCAAAGTCCAGGATGCTGCAGGGAGTGGACAGTGGAGTGTACTTTTTCTAGCGCACACCATCTCTGAGGTTTCCAAGAACGCAAAGCCCATCTCTCCCCTGCCCCCACAGCTCCGCCTTGAACACAAAGGCCTCGGATTAGATGGATGATGAGTTTCAATTATGGCCAAATGAGGGACATATGAGGGATCTGAAGACCAGCCATCCACACTAGAGGGGAAGTTTAGGCTCCTTAGGATTCAGAGTTTGTCTTCATATTTCTGCGATTTGCTGGTACTGCCATAGCATGACAATCTGTAACCTTCTCGGGGGAGTTTAAATGGAAACTCTGCGCGCCTTTTGTGCAATGACTTCATTGGAAAGCACATCTTTTGCTGTAGCAACACAGTGACGGCTGCCATTTCAACAGCCGGTTTCCGAAGCTTGTTGGCCAAGCAACCAGCGTGTACCATTGCACGCCAGCACATCTCAATTTGTAAAAGGCGGCCACCTCTAATCAAGAGAGGTTCTTTCTTGGGGTGGGGATTTTTATTTAAAATGTGCGTAAGCTTCCAAGTCCAAACATTCTAGGTGAATTACCTCAAGCTGAGGGTTTTGAACTAAACCAGAGGATTTCAGACTTTTTTTTTTCTTTTTAAGCAAGAGAACACTTTTTTTTTTCAAAGCAGATCTTAATCAGCATCCCACTATATAAACCAGGGGGCTACTTGGGCTAAAGCCGGGTGTGGGGGCTAGAGCTCCACTCACTGGGTCTCCCTTTTTCTCCCCCCAAAGCTGCCAGTGGTCTTCAGAAACCAGCTTGAAAACCTCCAATACAATAAAATGTGACACATGCACTCCATGCTTGAGCCAGAGCTAAGCTGTCCAGTATGGTGGCCACCAGCCACATGTGACTCCCGAGCCCCTGAAACGCAGCCAGTCTAAATTGAGTTGTGTTATGACTATAAATACACACCTGATTTCCAAGCCTTTTATGAAAAAAAGGCATATAAATAGTTTTCATATTTACTACATGTTAAAACATAATATTTGGGGCTGAATAAAATATCATTAAAATTAATTTCACCTGTTACTTTCTAGCTGTTTTTATGTGGCTACTAGAAAATGTAAGATCACATGCATGGCTCACACTTGTGACTCCCATTCTGTTTCTATTGAACAGTGCCATGAGCTGGGTGGAGCCTTCCCTGGGGTGTGCAACCACATTAGGGTCCTGGTTTGGCTGGGATGGGTTGCTACACAAAGGCTTTCAAGCAAAGCACCTGGCATCAGGTTCTGTTGCTGGATCCAGCCTGTCCTCGAAGCTCTCAGCAGGATTTGATGCTCACACTTAAATCTCCACCTACTCTGTCCTCTCTACTTGCATGGATCATCCAAGACCCCCAGGTGGCTGGGAACTTCCTTACCTACTACCCTTTCACCCTTAGCCAGATTGTTATGATCCCAAGAGCTATAAGCCTTCTCTTTCTCTGTTTCAATTCAAACCCAACTCGAATAGCCACACATGTAATGGAGATCACTGGCTGATTTTTAGGAGGGGAAACCCCAAAGGGTGGGAGGAGTGTCAACAAGGAGCTCATGTGCATCAGTCTTATGGTTCACAAGTCCTTTATTCATTCATTCAACTAAAGGAGCAATTATAGCTAGCATTTATTGAGCACTTACTATGAACAGGCATTGTTCTAAGTGCTTTCGTGGCTTGACAACAAATATGAATTGAGCATCCATCAGGCATCTTGCTACATGCTGAAGAATCAGCAGTAAGCAAGAGAGATAAAGACCTGTCCTCATGAGCAGGCAGACTAGTGGGGAAGACAGTAAGAGACAGGAAGGAAGAAAGGAAGAAAGGAAAGGAAAGGAAAGGGAAAGAAAGAAAAGAAAGAAAGAAATGGAGAGAGAGGAAAGGGATGGATGGAAGGAAGGAAGGAAGGAAGGGGAGAGAGACAGAAAAAGAAAGAAGAAAGAAAGAAAGAGGAAAAGAAAGAAAGAAGGAAGAAAGAAAAAGGAAGGGAGGGAGGGAGGAAAAACTGAGGAACCTAGAGGGACACCCCAGTAGCAGTGAGCACACTTAGCATCCAGATCTTGGTTTCTAAACACCATCCTCCAGAAAAAAGGAACCAGGACTCCTTGAAGAAATGGTTGATTCCAGGGCAAGGGCAGGGAAAGTACAAAATGATCCTGGAAGATCTTCCAGCACCAGAAAATGAGGATGTGCTCACAAAAATGACAAGGTCATGTAGAAAGATACACAAGAGCTAAGTTGAAGGATCTCCTCAGGACCAAATCAGGGACAATTCAGCAACAAAATGAATAGATGATAGCAATGGATTGTAACCTATAAAATAAATATATCTGGGTTCATACTAATGCAAATAACAATTAAATAAAGAGATAAATGGGAGAGGAGACCATGCTTCCTTACAGCACAATTCCAATCAGTAAATTCAGAAGGGATGATGGAACTAGGGAATGCCCATTTGGAAAACACTGCAGTAATAACTGTTGTAGACAAGAATCATCAATGGTCATCAATAGATGCCAAAATTAGTGGGGGGAAGTATAATGAAAAACAAGCCATTTACATTATCTAAGTCTATCCCCATAAGATAATTATTAATTACAAAGAGAAAAGTAGTAATTTAAAAGTGGAGAAACCTGGCAGTCACCTCCTGAAGCAAGTAATCAAAGTGAACATCACCAGTATTGGGACAAAGGGACACCATGTACTGAGAGTCACACAATATCACCTCTATGGCATTCTTACCAGAACTGCATAAGCTGAATTAAATCATGAAGAAACCTCAGACAAGCCCAAATTGAGGAACACACTACAAAATACCAGCCAGTACTCTTCAAAAGGTGTCAAGGTTGTGAAAGACAAAGACCAAGGAAGTTCTCAAAGGAGACGAGAGACGAGAAAAATAAATGTGATGTGTGATCCTGAATTGGATCCTACACCAAAAAAGGGACACCGATGGGGCAGTCGGTGAAACCTGTCTAGGGTTTGTAGATTAGTTAGTAACACTGTATCGATGTCAATGTCCTGGTTTTGATCAACTACTATGTCTGTGGGTGATAGTAGCATTTGGGGAACTAGATGAAGGGTTTGCTAGAACTTTCTATTGCTTTTGCAACATTTTTGTAAGTCTGAAATTATTTCAAATGGAAAAGCCAAAAAATAAAAGTAAATAAAAGCAGATAATTAATTGTCCACTGCAATGAGTGCCACACGGAACAAAAAGGGAGCCGAAAATAGCAGAAGGGGGTGTTTGGCATCAACCTGCCGGCAGCTGCCATTCATCCTCAGACCTCAGTGCAGAGGGAGAACCCAGCACAAAACAGAGGGAAGAGTGCTCTGGCTAAGGAACAGCGTGTGCAACAGCCCCGAGGCAGGAAAGTTTCCTCCTTGTTCTTCCCTAGGAACACCCCATAGAGAAATACGGTGGGATGCGGTGGCTGACGACGCTGGAAAGACAGAAAAGTCCAATTGTAGATGGAGGCAGAAACCCGAGCGATGCATCTACAAGCCAAAGAATGGTTGGAGCCACCAGAAGCCGGAAGACGCCGGAAGGATCCTCCCCTGTGGCCTCAGGAGAGCATGGCCCTGCCCACACCTTGACTGCAGACTTCTGGTCTGCCGGCTCGGATAGAGTGAAGTCGTGTTGTTTAGGTCACCCCGTCTGTGGTCTTTTGAAACAGCGGCTCTAGGACACACAGCCACTGTCCTTCTGCATTGTTGAGGTGCAGTGATGGGGTAACCTCACGCCTGCCCCTCTTCGTTCTGTGCACCTCCCTCGGGCTATCCATGAGTCACTTATGCATTTACTTATTAAAGGTTATTCACTTAAAGCATTCCTTAATATTTTCAAATCCAGCACAGACCAACCCCCCCTTTTAAAATGTAGTCTTGACCTCAGCAATGCGGACCACACAGCACCAGTTTGCTACATTAACCGTGGCTGCTTTTAACACCCTCTAAAATCAGTGCCTAACCCCCGGGATCAGTGCTCGCCGCTGCACCCGAATCACCTGGCACCCCTCCCGGGGCCGCAGTACAAGCCAGTTAGGGTAGGAAAGATGACTGCTTTTCTGTTGCTTTTTGCCTCCAAAAGAAAGATCTCCGAAGACCTGTTTCTCTGGCTACAAACCCCATGTCTTTTCTCCACCTCCTCCCCTTTTCATTCGGGCCCACTCTTGTCGTGATCTTTGAAGAAAACACGCATTGCGGAGCTGGGTGTGAACCTTTCTGAGCCTACATTTTCATCTCTAAAATGAGGATCACCATGTCCACTGCACAGAAGGGCTCTGAAGGCTCGATAAGAGGAGGACACCTATTTTTAATGCCATTTCTAGGAAATATCCAGAATAGGCAAATCCATGGAGACAGAAAGCAGATTAGTGGTTGCCAGGCTTTGAGAGGAGAGAATGGAGAGTGACCACTGATGCGTACAGGGCCTCCTTTTGGGGTGATAAGAATATTCTGGAACTAGACAGTGGTAATGGCTGCACAGCATGAGGAATGGCCTAAATGCTGCTGAATTTTACTTGTACGCTTTACAACGGTTAAAATGATGAGTTGTATGTTAGGTGCATTTCACCAAAATTTTATTTTTTAATTAGATAAGAAGCGTCTGCCTGGGGTAAGTGACTCCACCTCTCTGAACCTGTTTCCTCATCTGCAGAATGGGGGCATGGACAGAACCTATGCGCTGGGTGGTTGTGCAGATCACCCCAGCTGGTCCACAGATATGATGGGCATGTGGAATGCACGGACAGGCTGCTCCCTCTGGGATTGCTGGAAGGACTCGCCACCAAAATGCAGACGATCTCAGCCAAGTGCCTGTGCTTGGTAGAGTAAAGCAAGCATCCTTCCCCCTTAAGATCCCAGGCAGGCTCCATACCGTGTGGGCCTGTGTAGGCTGTTTCTGGCATTCTGACTCACGGTAACATGTAAAGGTTGGAGCAGATCATATTTTAAACCCCAGAAGCTTGGTCTGAGCAACTGGGCACTCTGGATGTAATTCTGCAGGTAATTTGAACGATGCTATCTAATTTCAAATGTCCCTGCTCTTACGAGTGCAAAAGCAGCATAATTTTTAATTAGTGGGTAAACAGTAAATAATGGATGGCAGTAAGTGGACACCGCTGTTAATTAAAAATCCATGGTTGATAAAAATCAATTTGGCCCATGCATTGAACTCAGTCTAACAGGTCCCTGTGAAAAGTTGTGCAATTGGCCCACAGCACCATCTGCTTTCAGATGTTCCTTTAGCTAAGACTTTTCAGGGGCGGGGGGGCAGGAAGAGGGGAGAGAAAGAAAAAAATCAAAAAGCTACCTCAAAAGCTGCAACAGAACAACTTGCCCGGATTCATTTGTAACTGGTTGATTGAATTTTTGCAACCTTTGCATTGAAGCTCTGCAAATGGCCAAGAGGCCATGGTAGGCTCTACTCTGGTATTTCCACAAAGAAGGTCTCCAGTTGTGTTTTGTGTTTGGTGTGTGTCTTGTTCTGAATACAGGGAGACTTCGTGTAGTCTCCTGACTTCATTAAATCATCGAAAAACAAGACAAACTAAAACACACTCAGCAGGAACATGCTGTCTGAGGATTCACAACAACATGTAACATCTAGGCACCATCTCTTCTCGGTGCCTTCAGAGCGTACAGGGGGAAAAGGCCTGTTTTCTTTTCAACAGAAAACATTTCCTCAAGAAACAGAGCTTTGTGGAAACAATGTCAATATAATTTTCAGGGCCCGTTTGCTATTTTGCTCTGAGACACAAGCTTGATTTTCAAGTAACGCTGACCCCTTTGGTCCTTTTCTTCTCTCTGCTTCTCCAAATCAACATTCTCCAAATCAGCACATCCAGGTAGGTTTCCTTGACTCTGGTAATGTTCACATTAACCCACAGAACTGAGTCCAGGGGACCCCGTGTCTCCCGACGAGGGTGCTTGCTGGAGCACGAGAAGGTTCCAGATGCTGACTCGGAGGCACGCCCTGGCTCAGGATCCCTGATAGGGCCATGCTAGCCATTTGGCCCAATTTCAGTGCCCACTCACAGGCCACAACGTCCTGCTTCTGGTCCTCCAGAAATGAGATGTGCCCAAGTTACTACGGAACTACCCACAAGCTTCTTTTTCAGGACTCCCCTTGCTATGCACCCACCCTGAAGGGTGGCACTGAGAGCCCTCGGGCGGCCCGAGTGGCCATGTGTCCCTTTGGGGCCAGGTCAGCCCTAGCTGGCTGGGAGGTGGTTTTCATTTCTCTTATTGGGCTGGTTAAAACCAGGTAGGACACACCAGGAATATAGCAAGGACCCAGGGCCGGCATTTTTACATGCTTGCTCATTCATTCATTCATTCATTCAGCAAATTCATCCCCCCAAGTCTCGAAAACAGCACCTACCCCTTGCTGTGATGGAAGGCGGCCAACGGTGGAAACATCGGGCCAGTCTGACCACCTGGGCTTTGTCCTTTGTCACATCTGGGCAGCCTGTGCCTGCCTGCAAGCAAAGCCCAGCTCACCCAGCCTGTCTCTCTGCCCCTAAGAGGAAGCTAATGCTCACGCCTGTCTCCGAGAGTTGTCGCAAAGATCATCAGGCAGCCACTAAAACCCGTGGGACGCGGTTAACAGAAACCATGCCTGCCATCACTGCTGTGGCGGGCCTCACCTGCGCTTTTTCTGCAGGTCTCTGGGGACCCCAAGAGTCTCCACATGAGACCCCAGGCCTCCAGGAAGTGAGAAATCTACTCTGTCTCATTTTCCTGAGATGCTGCTGGGGCGCAGCGCGTTTGGGTGCCACACGCCCCATTAGACAGCTGCCAGGGGACAGTGTGGGGACCTCAGGCTTCCCCAGGCCTTCTCTGGTGTTGCCAGGAAGGTGTGGTGTGCAGTGGAGAAGGGGGCAGAGTGTACCTTTCATTTGCTTCTCCAGGCAGCCCACAAGCCTTCCTGGGCCCCCACCCACACCCCTCAGGGCCTGTGTCCCCAAGCCGGCCCCCAAACACTTGGCCCACAGGCTCGGTGGGAGGAAGTGCCTTTGGAAAGCCTGCTGCAGGGGCCGGCCAGCGGGTCAAGGCCGGCCGCCCCTGAACACAGCCCGTTGCTGTAATATTTGGACCTTGCTCGCCGCCAAGCTTCCCACACATCCCGCCATCTGGGTTATGTCAAGCCCAAGCCTCTGAGTGGAAATGACAGTTTCTGGGGAAATCACTGCTCTTTAGCAGCTGAAGACCCTGATGCTCTCGCCTTGGGACAGCAAGTAGAAGAGATTGAGCACAGTCCCAAGGCCAAGCCTGGCTTGTCTCCATAAGATGAGCACATGTGGGGGTCACTCAGGAGGGCCTGAGGCCCCTGCTGCTCACAGCCATCCTCCCCGAGCCTCCGATTCCTCCCCTGCCCGACCGTCAGCTGTGTGCATCAGCCTCGGTACCCACCACACATTTCCTGGGCACCACTATGTGCCAGGTGATGGCCTGGGGCCCGTGGTGTGCAGACGGACAGCATGCGGGCCTGGCACCAAGGAGGGAACATTACATGAGTGGCTTCCAGAGGCAGGTAGCAGTTCTGGCCTGTTCCATGGGGCAGAAGTCAAGGAGAACCTGGGCTCTTTGGTGCATGGGGGGGTAGGGTGAAGTCCCATTGCCCCAGCACCTCATTCTGAGTCTAGAGGGCCCCTTGTCCTGGAGTGCAGAGTCCTTCAGCCACCACGTGGCAGTGCCTGGCCACGGCAGGTGAGTCTTCGGAAGGTCTGGCCCTCTGGGAGTCTGGCGTGGCCCAGTAATTCTCGGAGGCTTTCCAGCTCCGGAGCCTGGGGCCGTCTCCCTCCAGGAGACTAGTATTCCATGGGGGTCATGTCTGAGATCCAGGAGATGATGAGCCCAGATGCTGATCGAGGCACCCTGACTTGGGTGTGGCTAAGGCAGAGCTGGGCACCCCGGGGAGGGGCCAAGGTGGAGGTAGAAGCAGACCCTGGCTGGCTCTCTGACCCTGCTGTGGCCCAGGATGGGCTGGGAGGGCAGGCCCAGCAGGCAGAGTTTCTGGAGTGTGTCAGGATCACTCACGCATGTCTGTCTGCTTTGCAGCCCGCACTGCAGAGGCGACTGGGACGGCAAGGGGTAGCCGCGTCCACTGGGAACCCCGCTGCCAACAGCCGCTGCCCAACAGAGCGCCCATCGCTGCACTGCTGCCCCCACGCCTCGACGGGCCCTGGGTCTCCACCGGGTAAGACCCTGATCACAGGCCCCTGGGCAGGGAGACTTCACCCTCTCCGAGCCTCAGTATCCACACGGCACGATTCATCCAGTTGTCCAAGAGGCCCGCTACCTGCCCAACACGTGGCTTTGCCGGCCCCCCTCCACAGCCCGGCAGGCAGGACGTGCCCCAGCTGCACGCGGCCACGGATGAAATCCATGTGTGCAACATATTGAGCACCCAGGATACAATACTTACTGAGTGCCCACCAGGCATGGGGGAGCCACTGTGGGGACAGGAACCAGACATGCGAACACAGAAGTAAGTGTTGTAAATTGAGATGGTGCTAAGCTCTGCCATGAAGGACACAGAACCAAGGATGTGATAGTCAGTGACCGGGGTGGGGGCTTCTCAGAGGTGGTAACATTCAGTTGAGAGCTGAAAGAAGAGTCAGCCAGGGGAAGAGCTCCTCTGCAGAGGCTGGTGCGAAGGTCCTGAGGCAGGACCAAAGAGGACCCGGGTGTCTTGCTTGTCCGTCGAATTCTCTTCCTAACCAGACAGGCTTGCCTGACATTTCAGACGTCCTGTTTGCTGCTCTGGGGTAATGGGCTTTGTGCTCTAACCCTCATCCATGGGGCGTGAAATCTACAAGAGCTGTCTGAGTCCTCCCTCCTGGGTGAGGGAGAAGGGAGGCAGCGGCCTTCTCCACACCTAGTACCTCCTTTCCTCCCCTGCCACCCCCTTGGGGCCAGTCCAGTTCTGGGGTCAGGGACTGGCCTCTCCACGTCCTCCATGCACCTCCTGGGGTCAGGGAGAAACTCGACTGCCAAACATCTGTCAGCACTCTGGGTGGAGGGAGGGGACATGAGCTCTGTAAAGCCACTTTGGATGTGTTCCCAGGCTCTGCCCCCACCCTGACTGCACAGTCCAGGTAAGATCCAGGTGCCACTGGTGTGGGTCACCCCGAGACAGAACTGGGCTGTAGGGAAGGCCAGAACTGGGTGCAGTCTGCTTCTGCCCTGAGACAACAGCATTCCAGGACAGTTCCTCTAGAAACTTCTTTTAGAACTTTCTTCCTAGAAGGTTCTTCTTCATGCTCTCCAGACAGGCTTTGCTGCTTCCTGGAGGCAATGCAGGGAATGATCCTGAGTCTGGGAACCACTGAGGTTGTCCACTGTGGCCTGCTGCGTCCCATTAGGCAAATCTCTCTCGCCCCCAGCCCTGTCCAAGATGCAGGTGAGGACAGGACTTTAGCCCACCCTCAGGTGTATGAGTCACCCCTCTCTGTCTTCAACGACCTCCTGTACTGGCATTTCCTTACCATTTTTCTTTAAACCAGCTTGCTTTTGTTTACCTAAATATATTCATTTATTTTTCCAGCTTTATTGAGGTATAATTGGTATACAGTAAAACTGCACACATTTGCAACGTACTGTAATTATTTTTAAAGGAAGTGTAATATCACCCCGGATAGGGAGAGCAGAACCACCTGCCATAAATAGGAGGTAACTGTAAAAAGAAAGTCAATGAAAACAAAACAACATAAGTAAATTCTCGCTAGATTCTTTGCCTGCCTCAGGTCCTGAGTCTGTTTTTTTCTGGGAGAAAAGGGAGGTTGGCGTTAAAGACACGTTAGCTCCAACAGAGACTTTCTCCTTAACATAATCAGAAAGATTGAAAGAAAAGAAAAGGGAACTGTTTTCGTGCTGGGTAAGAACACGTTTCCTCTGCTCCATCAGCCTTGCTATGAAAACTACTGAGAAGGTAACCGTAACGGTGGTGCGTGTTCACAGCGGCGAGTGAAGTGGGCCCCGCCTGCTCTGTTTCCCCCTGGAACTCACCCAACATCCACCCCGTCTGCACCCTCAGTGCAGTCTCAGAGGCTCCCCTGCCTCCAATCCAGGCTGCGGCTGTGGGTCTAGGAGTCATTTAGGTTCCCTTTGTGCTCAACCTCACACTGAGCTTTCTCCAACACCAGCAGAAGCCATCCTGGGGGCCAGGTCCGGCCCACCACCCGCTTGTTTTTTTTTAAATAAAGTCTTATTGGCACACAACTGTGCCCCACCCCACCGCATTTACTTATTGTCTCTGGCTGCTTTAGCTCCAGAGACCACCTGGCCCACCAAAACAAAAATACTTATTATCTGACTCTTTACAGAAAAAGTTTGGTGACCTCTGGCTTAGATCAACAAGTCTGTCACAGGCACGAATGAAACTTGGTCAGGGAAGTCAACCTAGCGAAGGGGAGACTGGACGTAACTGCCCATCAACCATGATTCCCTCAGTGAGGCCCCGGGGAGGGTCCGCTGGGTGCCAGGCTCTGGGCCAGGTGCCAGGGATCCACGGGGGAGAGAACGGGGAGGCCACTGCCTCCTCGAGCTCACGGCATGGAGTTCCCCAAATGGTGCAAAGGAGCCTCTGTTTCCTAAGCACCTCCTGGGCACTGTCACTGCACCTCGTGCTTCCGGGAAATCCCGACTGTGGGTCTGATGCCTCCGTGTCACAGAGGAAGGAGCTGGACAGTATCCACAGCTGCTGAGGGACCGGAATGGGATCTGAACCCAGGTCCTCTGCTACACAGTCTGTGTACTTCCTGGGCCAATAAGTACTCACAGGTATGAGGACCCATGCCACGAGGGAGGATGTTGGCTGAAGAAGGCTTTTGTGGAGGCCATGAGGCAAGTGGATGGCTCTTGGCCTCAAGGGTGGGGCTGAGACCACTCAGGGAAACTGAGGCTGAAGGGGCCGAGGTCTAAAATAGAGGCTATGGGAGCAGGAGCCCAGGACAGAGGGAGAGAGACTCACTGTGCAGGTTCTCCCTGCTCTGCCCAACCCCCGTATCTCTCTCTCTCTCTCTCTCTCTCTCTCTCTCTGACAGCTGTGAGGTGCGCCCAGGACCTGAGTTCCTCGCCCGCTCCTATACCTTCTACCCCAACCGCCTCTTCCGAGCCTACCAGTTCTACTACAGGGACCCCTTCTGCCGGGAGCCTGCCCACTCCCTGCTCATCAAGGGCAAGGTCCGCCTGCGCCGGGCCTCCTGGGTCACCCAAGGTGGCACTGAGGCCGACTACCACCTGCACAAGGTGGGCATCGTCTTTCACAGCCGCCATGCCCTGCTCGATGTCACCAGGAGCCTCAACCAGACCTGGGCAGGCCGGGACTGTGCCCAGCGGCTGCCCCCGGCCCGGGCCTGGCTGCCCGGGGCACTGTATGAGCTGCTGAGTGCCCGGGCCAAGTGGGACTGCACAGAAGCCCTGGGCTTCAGCATGCATGAGCTCAGCCTGGTCCGCATGCAGCGCCACCTGCAGCTGCAGCCCCGGGCCGGGCCCCAGCTAGTGGAGGAGCTATACCTGGGGGACATCCACACCGACCAAGTGGAGAGGCGGCACTACCGGCCCACAGGCTACCAGCGCCCGCTGCAGAGTGCCCTGGTGAGTCTGGGGCCCTGGGAGGGCGAGTTCTGAGCCCCAACCCAGTGGACCCTCTATGGTCTGGTCCCTGCCTAGGACCCTCTCTGCATCCCAGGCTGGCCTGCTTGCCTCAGGACAGTTGCACATGTTGTTCCCTCTGCTTGAGACATCTTTTCTCGGGTCTTTACAGGGCTGGCTTTTTCCAAAGGAACCACTGCTCAGCTTGTGTGTCTGATCCTCCTGACATCCTTCTTGTGGGCCCCACAGGGTCCTGCCCTTCTGCCCCTGCTAGGCACCTGGGCATGGGCAGGTCTCTCTCAGTTCTCAGATCTCTCAGATTGTTCCCTCCAATCCCCACTCTGCACATTTTCCAGCACTCAGCTTCCCTGGGCTGCATGGTTCATTTGTTAATTGCTACTTTCTCCCCTAGAAGGCTCTCTGCAAGGGCAGGGCCCCGTTCTCTCCTGGGTTCCCACTCACGGCCCAGGGTCTGGCAGAGTCGGGGCCAATAAGTGTTAGTGAATGAACAAGGGAGAGGTCAGCCCTCCTCCAGGGCTCTGCTGGACGGCCACAGAGCCCGTGGAAGTTTCCCCCAAAAGCTCCGTGTGGCCCTCTCTATTGTCTGGAGCCAGAGATGTTGAGTGTACCCCTTCACACGAATGCCGGAGAGAGCAGCAGTCCTCAGACTCTGCTCTCAAGATGCCATCACCTGGGCATCTTCTGAGAATGCAGGGGCAGGTCCTGTGGGTCTGGGGTGGGACCTGGGACTCTGCATTTCCAACAGGCTCCCAGATGACCCATGGACGGCCCTCGGGGCAGGAGGCTGCCCTATAAAGGGAGATTTCTTTCCTCCACCCCAACTCCAATGTGAATTTCACTTGAGGTGCTTAACCTCGATTTTAAATTAAGTGGTCACAAACACACCGCCCCCACTCGGGGGAGATCTGGTAGCCCTTCCCTGCCTGATGAGCACACAGGCAGAAAGATCTGCGATTCATTTGTGTGATGTACTCTTGGCAAGTAGAGCAGCGCCTGGTCCACATGGGAGGGAGGCTTGGGACTTCTCCGGGGCGGCTGGTGAAGCCTTGGGACCACCCCCCACCCCCAGAAAAATGTCTGTAGGAGCATAAAATAAAATACATAGAATTTAAACAGAAACCAATTCAATTAAAACTGCTTACCCAAGTTTGGAATCATTAATTTGTGACCCAGGAACACTAGGACTATGAAGCCTTTATTCTCCCTAATTGAGTGCAAACATGTTCCCAGTATCTGCAACACTGTTACTAGGAGACAGGCAACAAAGTCAGAGGTTCCAGAAGTTACAGAGGTTTGTTGCCTACAGAGGCAATTACAAGAAAAGTTAACTTTTATCAGTTAGGGTTTATTGAAAATGAAGTCAAGGTAGGATGCCATGTGAAGAATGTCTCTACTAAGTACCCAAGGAATATTTTTCAAAAGTGAGAACGAACAGACTGGATGCATGAGTTCAGGAGCCCCTGTCAAGTGAGCCTTTAGGCGACCCTCACGTCATTCAGCATGTACTGAGTGCCTACTGTGTACTCAGCCCTCACTAAACCAGATGGGCAACTTCTCACCTCTGGGAGCAGCAGCTTGTTAGAGGACCCCGAGGAAGGGCACTAGGGATGAGCCCCGCTACCCTCTTCTCCTCTCCCACCCCCTCCTCCCAACCCAGGATCTGGGGAGCAGAGAGGAAGCACAAGAAGTTCTCATAATCAGAAAATCAGCCCGAGTTCTTTTCATGACCTCAAAATCATTCTCTTTTTGACAGCCAATGTTCTAGGCTGGTCTGACGTTGATCCTACTTAGAGAGGAGAAGGCACCGGCGGCGGGATGATTACCGGTGCCCACCACCTCATTAGGAGGGCAAACTGCTCTGAACACAGAAAGGACGGACCCCCGGGGTGCCGCGGATAACAATTTTCATGTCTCCCCAGGCAGGGCTCTGGGGCCGCAGACCCCTGCCCTCCTGCTGCCTGACCAGCCAGCATGGCCAATGCAACCTGCCCCGTGATCGAGAAGCAGAGCAGGAATGTGTGCATAGATGAACAGTGCCAGATGTGCAGACATTAAATTAAATATCTGCTCAGCAACTGCCCCCTCCCCGGGAAAAAAAAAAAAGAGAGAGAGAGAGAGAGATAATTTCAAAGAAGAAAATGCTGCAGATAAACCCCCAAGTAACGAATTAGTCGTTACCTTATGCTCTCTGGGGTCCAAGCCTTGCCCATAACCCAAACCAGATGGTAAACATGAACATTTTTAGAAGTTAATTTAAAACCAATTTGATCCCCAAATTCATTGCCTGGATGTAGAATCCTAATCAATCAGCCAACACTCGACCAAAATCATCTAAGCCTGGTGTCACCTCTGGGGGTTAATTAGAAACTGTTATGTGCTGTTTGAGAAATAACTTTATGTAACAGGTTTGAACCAGTAAGAGTTTGGCTCCTGCACAAGTGTGAATTCTGCTGGCTGGGGCCTTGTTTATTAACCCGCGCATCTCCAGATCTCTGCAGAATGATGCCAGAAAGGGTTTTCATCTTCCATCCCCTTCGAACGCATCGGAGGAGGAGATGCCTGTTTCTCTCATCTCTCACCTGAAAGGCTCACTAGCTCTCAATTTGTTTCTGTTATGCAGAAATCCATTTGCCCCGAATTACCAACCAGTATCTCAAATGTCCTGCCTGCAGAAGATCTCTCCTTTGCGGGGGGGAGTCGGGGAGGACAGCCCTGGTGTTATTTTGATGTAATGCATTCTGCTCTGTCAATACGCATCAGTACGACACCAGTCAGAATGTGGGTTAAAATGCCTAAATTAGACTCTTATCAGCCAGCCTTCCAATTACCGGCACTTCAGCTAACTACCCAGCCTGCTCATTTCTTCCCATCACACTTCTGCAGCCATTTACTAGCATTTCAAAGTGCCTTCGAGGCCTCTGTCCTCGAGTCAAAAATCCCCCCAAACCAAAAACAATATAATCTTCCATATTATGGAAATCGAGTCAAGTTTAGGTTCATCACAGACACAAATAACAAGAGCTGAACATGTGGCAATCTGAAAAAGAAAAAAGCCAAACTGTTTCTTAATCATCCAATAGTTTCTTTCTAGACGAAAACTCCCAAAAGCCACTTGTTTGGCATAAAACTCACCCAACAGCAATCTGTGGGAATCTTTTGTTTTTTGCAAGGAAAAAAAAAAATGGAGCTGATTTCCCGGCCGGGCTCTCCAAATACCCTTCTTTTCCTTTGCCTGTCCTGCCTGCGCCCCTGGCCTGAGGTTTCCTTCTGAAATGGCAAAAGCAGGGGACGTCTGCTAGTTCCCACATCAACCTTGCTTTGACAAGTGATTGTTCCCAGGACATTTACCTTTCAGAGTGATGCTCTGGACTAAATTCTGGGCAACAGCTCCCTTTCAAAACACAACACAAAACAAAAACAAATGCAAAAAACCCCCCAAAACAAAAAACCCACACCAAGATGTCTCTATCTGGTTCCTGTTTGGCCTCTGCTGAGCTTTTTCCCTCCAAAATGCAGACTGACTTCTCCCACACACTGTGGTTTGGCCCCTGTGCCCCGTTGATGTGTTTTACTGAGAGCCCAGCTCTGTGACTCTGGAAAGCAGGGCCAACTGTAATAAGGCCAACGAGGGAGCAAAGCCAATGCACAGCCTGGGACAACTGAGGGCCGAGGCCGTAGCTGACCACTGGAGGGTGGCTGGTTTCCCCTATTATAAATAACCCTATAATGAACATCTTGGTGCTACATCTCTTTCCCACCATCTCCTCGGTGCAGGCTCTAAGCGGTGGGGTTCCACGGGCAGGAGTATTTTAATGGGCCTCCGTCCCTGTCAACACACGCACTTTCCAAGGCAGTGAGGGAACGAGGCTCACCCTCCCTGGCGGAGGTTCTTGAAGCTACAAGAGCCTTCCTTCTCCACCCCAAGGTGGGGATGGCACCGCTGTGAGGACAGTGAAGCTCTCAGTGTGGTAGGGATGGGGAAGAGACTCCAGACAGGAGTCTAGCACATTCTAGCCCATCTCTACCACTTCCAGGCTGGAGACCGTGGCAGGCTGCCAGGCCCACTGAGATCCAGCATCTTCGGCCAGGACATGTAACACCTGCCCGAGCAGGGCTGAGCACAATGCCTGGCGCTTAGGAGGCTCCTAAACGTGAGGGCTGGAGGGCGGGGGGAGTCCCAGTGGGCCAGGAGAAAGGCAATAAGCTTGAATGGTCGAATCTCAGGACCAAGCAGGATGGGTGTGGGGAAGGCCCCTTCCAAACCCCAGGGCATTTCTCCTGCATCCGTCCAACCATTCATTCTGTCAGTATGTGGCTGCTGTGAGCCAGGCGCCGTGCCAGGCCCTGGGGATGGATGGAGTAGCTACCGGGGCCTCCCGGCTTCGGGAGCCTACCGTCGAGCGAAGGGGGGGGCAGGGAAAGAAGAGGACATAGGAAGCGGCAGGTCTGTGATCTGGAGAGTTCTCGCTAAGGCCTCGCTGAGCTGAGACCCAGACTAGAAGGAGCCTGCCAGGCCATATGTGGGGGCATTTCCAGGTAGAGGGCCAGCAGGTGCAGAGGCCCAGAAGAGGGAGGAGCTGACTGAGATCCGACAAGAACAAAGTGGCCGTTGGGGCGGGAGGCAGGGCGTGACCCACGGGCGGGACCCCACATACCCCCATTCCCGGCCGCACCCTGACTCCTCCTCCCCCTCGGACAATCACTGTTCTGTTTCTGTTTGTCCTCTGCCAGCACCACGCCCGCCCCTGCCCAGCGTGCAGCCTCATTGCACGCTCCGACGAGCACCACCCGCCCGTGCTGCCCCCCCAGGTGGCCCTGCCCCTGCGCCTGGGTGGCCGGTGGGTCAGCCCCGGGTGCGAGGTGCGCCCCGCCGTGCTGTTCCTCACCAGGCTCTTCACCTTCTACGGGCACAACCGCTCTTGGGAAGGATATTACCGCCACTTCTCAGACCCCACCTGCCGCCAGCCCACCTTCACGGTCTATGCAGCCGGCCGCTACACCAGGGGCACGCCCTCTAGCAAGGTCCTCGGTGGCACCGAACTGGTGTTTCAGGTCACACAGGCCCGAGTGACTCCCATGGACCAGGTCACCACGGCCATGCTCAACTTCTCCGAACCCAGCAGCTGCGGGGGCCCGGGGGCCTGGTCCCTGGGAACCGAGCGGGACGTCACAGCCACCAATGGGTGCCTGCCGCTGGGCATCAGGCTCCCCCACGTGGAGTACGAGCTTTTCAAGATGGAGCTAGACCCCCTCGGGCAAAGCCTGCTCTTCATCGGACAAAGGCCCACGGACGGGTCAAGTCCCGACACCCCGGAGAAGCGTCCCACATCCTACCAAGCACCCCTGGTGCTCTGTGGCGGAGTGGCCGAGGGAGTCTCTGGGCCCGCGCCACACAGGCCTCTGCAGAAGCCCCTCAGTGGTGGGGGGCCATGTCCTCCAGCAGCCCCTCTCCCCGTCCTGCCCCTAGCTCTAGGGCTGGCCTTCCTCAAGTGGTTATGAAATTGGTCTCTGAGCTCTAGGCTGCCTCTCGGGGACCCCCCCCACCGGGGGGCCTCCCTCCGGGCACAGACTCCTCCAGGCATCCGCGAGAAGGGCCCCTTCTTCCCTCTGCTCTGCTGTGGATCGTTCCACGGCCCTGCTGACATCCGCCAGCCTGGGTCCCGGGGTGAGGCGGGGGGGTCAGTGCCCGAGTCCGACAGCACCCGCCAGGCCTGCCCCACGGTCAGCAGTCCAACCCGAGTGTTGACCGTGAACCTGCGCACGGCAATGTCAAGGGCTTCAAGGCTCTAAACGCTCGCTCCGGGTTTTCCTGGGCAGTAGCCCCTTCTCCCGCCCTGTCCTTGGCATTTTGTGGCATGGGAGCAAGGATCTGCACGGGGCTGCCGCTGCCGCCACTCTGCCAAGCCTGTGGAGTGTTGTTTAAAGATTATTAATTTGCATTTAGCAATACAAACTCAAACCAGGGCCATGAATTAAAGATGCTGCTTCGGGCCTTCGGTACTTGGCAGCTTTCTGGAGGAGGTCTTGTCTCTTCAGGGGCAGCTCAGCTTTCTTAAGTTTTCACTGCTGGCATTTGTCTGCACTTGCCGGTGCGTCTGCGAGTCAGGCCTCAAGCTGTCAACGCCGCACGCGGATGAATCCGGCCCTCCCGGGCCAGGACGCGAAGGAAGCCGCTCCTCCAGAGCCCACAAGAGCGCCCCACTCACCCACACCCGGCTGGCTGCTGGGGGCAGGTCTGTGGAGGAGCACTGCATTTCCAGGCTTCGGAAAGTAATTAGTACTAATGATAGGAGGGACACTAAGATGCTCTGTAATTAGCCCTGTACAGGCGTCCTCTGTTTTCAAGATTCTCTGTGCTCAACTGACAAGGAGAGAGAGAGGCCTCCGAATGTGTCTTTGGGACCATCCTAGGGAGAGGTCGGGGTCACCAGGCTACACGGCAACATCTGGAGGGGGAGGCGGCCTGCTCGCCCGGATGCTAATGTGCCGATGCCCTCCTCTGCTCGGAGGGGGCTGTCATCTGGTGGGGGACAGGCTGTGCCTCTGCAGGGGCCCTGCCCGTGTTCCTGAGGTCTTGTCTGTACACTGCGAAATTGACTGGCATCCTGGTGGGCTCAAGGGTTTCCGGGACTCTGTGCCTATGATTCGTCCCGTCCTTCCTCTGCCCGATCCCTAGCTCTGGCTCTTATCACTGATCCTGAACCATCGTCTGTGAGGCTAATGAGGCTTTCAGAGGAAAGCCCTTGTCCTCTGTTAGATTGTGTGGGGTTCCATCAGCCCGCCGAGATTGTTCTAACTTATCTACCCATTGTTCTTAAAAAGAAAAAAGACCCACCAAGTTAATATTCTCTGTAGGTCTGAGAGCTATGAGTGTTCCTGGCATATTTACCCAAGTACAAAAAATAATTAGATTATTTACGGTCTCAGACTGCATCGGGGTGGGGGGTGCGCTGCCTGGTGGGGATGAGGGTGGGTGGCGATAATGTGTCCATGGCTGAGCAAGTCTTGTATCCGAAGCTCGAGGCAACCATGACACCATTTGTCATCAAATTTGAATCTTTTAATAAAATTAAACAGCCTGAAAAATGTTCTTGCTGGTTATTAAAGTCAACCAAGGGGATTATGGTTCTAAAGAAAGGAAGTGAAGTGTCTTCCAGGGAATGTGTGAAAGAGAATAAAACCAGTGGAGGTTAACCCCGGCTCTCTGCTAGGCCCCTTCGGTCCAGGCGACTGCCCTGCCCTGTTACAAATTCTCTAGGAGCTTCCAGTGCACTCAGAATAAAATCTCCACTCCTGGGTCAGTGATGTCTGCAAGGTCCAGCTGTGCCTCCCCACATCCGGGCTTCACCGCCCTTCCTTCTGGCTCTTGATCTCAACAAACTGGTTCCTACCTCAGGGCCTTTGCATGTGTCACTGCTGCTTCTCTTCCCCGTGATCCTCAGAAGCGTGGCCTTTTCAAGTCTCAGACCAGATGTCACCTGCTTAGGGAGGCCGACCATCAGCAACCCCAAACGGCAGCCTCCCTTCCCTTGTCCTTCTGTCTACCCCCACCTGTTCCGTCATGCGGTCTCTATCTTGTAGGGCTTACTGCTCACCGTCAGAGATGACCTCATTTGTTCATGTTTATTCTCTGCCTCCTCTACCATAACCGTAAGCTCCGTGGAACAGGGAGGGACTGAGTCAGTCTCTACCATCTCGTCCAGCACTGCCTGCACACACTCAGTAAATACAGTCGAGGAAACCTATGTTTACGATCCCAGCTAATCCTCACACCAAGACCTGTGACAAGGCCACAGTCACATACCAGGCACAGCATCCCTCCCGGGGCGGCGGGGTGGGGTTGGGGGGCAACATGGGAGGTGAGGGGTGTGACTCTGCTCCTGAGGATGCTAACGGCTCAGAGAGGAGAACGGGCTTTGCCCAAGGTCACCAGCAGCTGGGCCCCAGACCCCGAGGGCTGAGCCTCTGGCTTGGGGTGTCCTTCCGGGATTCCAGTCCCCTCATAAGGGTGGGATTCCTTGACTGTGTTTGGGGAAAGCAAGTCAGAGCTCCTTCGTGGGGCCCAGCATGAGCCACTTCGAATTAAAGGCTCCCCTGACTGGACCGAGGTGCCCTCCCTCCCAGGGCCTCTTGGTTCTGGAGCAGTGGATGCTGACCGAAAGAACCATGGCTGGAGGAAGGACAACAAGCCCTTCTCTCCTGAGCTGAAATCAGAAGGCGTCATCTGGGGGCCTGGGGGGCTGAGGCGGCTGGGTGAGAAGCCCACAGACACCAGCCTTCTGGCCCCTTTCTCGGCTCCTTGTAGAACCCTCCACATAAAACCCAAGATAGCTTTAATCAACAGAGGGGAAAGTAAAACCCATAGTTCTAGTTCAAAACAAAACAAAACAAAATTAATGTTCTCCATTCTATGTTCAGTCACGTTTAAAAGGGAAGGAAAAAAAAAACCCCGTGCAGTTTATAATTTCATAGTGCAAGCTCCCAGGAGAGTAAATGAGGCTTTTTTTTTTTTTTTTTAATAAAAAGTTTAAATTGTATACAGCTCTCAGAGGCCCATTAACTAACAGATGCTGGTTATCAAAAGAAGCTATTTCTTTGCTTTTTCTAAGCGAATGTGTTTAATCTCCCAGCGGTGCTACCGGCCTGAGAAAGAGCAGCCCACAGTGACGCGGGCTCTGCCGCACTCAGGCCGGTCTCATGGGGCCTTGGTGACTCAGGCGTGAGGGAGGCTGGAGGGGACAGGACGGGAGCAGCAGCTCCTGACGCAGAGGAGCGGGGGGAAGCGCATCGGGGCCATCAGTGGGGCCCTGGGAGGGGTGGGGGGCCGTTTCTGCTCCCTGGGGGTGAGCTTGGCCCTAAGTGCCTAGAGGCCGGTCGTCCTCACACACCCCCCACTGGATGGATGCGACGACCGAGGGCTGACCTGCCCCCCCACCCCCGTCAGGGTCTTCTCTTCGCCCCTCCCTCTGCCTGGAATGCTCCAGCACCTTAGCTTTCACCAGTCACCACTAAGGACCCTGTGCCTCATTTCCCTATTGGTGGCCTCTCTCCTCTAGGAGTCCCCTGACGGGTCACTCTTGTCTGCCTTGTCCCCCACCATGCCCCCAACGTGTGGAAAGCGCCTGACACATAGTAGGAGCTCAGTAAACACTGGTTGAATGAGTAAACCCACTGAGTACTGATTTGGAGGCTCCAAACTCAAGCAGCCAGAGGACAGCCACATACTCTAAATCCGGCTTGGAATTTTGATGTTGCTTTATTATTATTATTATTATTATTATTATTATTATTTTAATAAGATGGGCAAAGCAGAGCCCAGAACTGTGAACTTGAGGAAATCTATTTTCTCCTACCCAGGCTCTTCCTCCCCCCAGGCATTGGGGCCAGCTCTGTCCCAGAACAGGGGGCCACACAGCCTGACATGGGCAGGATCCCCTGAGAGCCCCCCTCAGGTTTCACAGGTACAGAGGTCACGGAGATGGGGAGACCCTCAGCATCATACAGGCACCTAAGACTTTCCATCCTTAGCTGTGGAGCCCCCGGCTTCAGTTTCCTCCCCAGGAAAACGAGCTGAAACTCCTGGAAAGACCATGCCTGCCTGGTAAGAGATTCAAGAAGCAGCAATGTCATGTTCTAAGAGGAATGGCTTTAAACAAAAATCTCAGTGAGGATGGGTCTTCTCCCAGTGATGTTGTATTTACCTCCTAAGGATTAGTAATAACCTACTACTCTTGCTCCTACATTTGGTATTTTTTTAATCCCTCAGGAGAAAAAATGATTAGCAAAAAAACTTATTTTTCTTGGTCATCACTGCTGTTAAAATCAACGGTCAGTTTATTAAGAACTATGTGTAGGTACTGAGTACCCGACACGGGCCAGGTGGGACACCAACTTTCACATCTACTTCCTTCTGAAGCCCCCTGTAAATTATGGGAAAGGAACGAAGAGGCACAAGGTCATGTGGATACACAGGAAAGGAGAAGAGTCAAGTAGAGATGGTAGCAAACCTCTGGAGTCTGGAGGGCTGATGGGTAACATGTTGAGAGCAGGTGACAGAGAGCAGAGAGAAAGGTGCTGCCTGGCCGGTTTAAGGGTAGGGGTCAGAAGCAAGTCCACTTGTGCCCCCAAAGGCTTAGGAAGAGTGGTCTAAGGAACCCTAGGGGTGGGAGAGCACTGGGGCTGAAAACAGGACTATGTGAAAGTCTTCAAAGGAGTTTTACCCCCAGATCCTCTTCCTAACCCCTGTATGAAACTGGAAATGCAATCGGGATGTTTGGACTTGCAGACCATCCAGGGCAAGGTACCATGCTTAAAAATATAGGTAGCAAAGAAAACTCTACCCATTAAATGGTTGGGTTGCACAGCCTCCTTCTCCTTGAGAAATAGTGGTCAGGCTTCTGCTACCAGGCAGGAGACAGGAAGATTCCAGAGAAATGAACCCACATTAAACCAACTACAGATACTGACGGCTGGAAGTTCCCCCAAGGAGGTGTCTGTGA